TCCCTAAACACCTATCATAAGGGACCTAGCCTAAGGATCATCATCGGGATGGACACTACTGCTAAGGGGGTTCCTCAGCAGTAAATGTCCTAAAGGCAACCATGAGGGGGATGGAGTACACCGGTGAACACATCGTTCACAAACACCTATAGGTTGCGAGCCTGCTAGTGTTCCACTGGACTGTCTAGAAGAGTCCGTGGTCGTCATCCATACTCCGCTAGATGACATAATCAACACCAACAACATCGAGGCCTCTCATCATTTTATCGCACATCGTCTTATTACATCTACCCATGTTTTACCCCAACATTTTTGTAGATATAAAATACGTATACAGTTTAAATTATTTAAAACATGTATAAAAATCTTTCATCAGCACAGGCAGCAAGTATTCAGATAATATGCACACATAGCACGTAATTAATATAAAATACTTCATATCTATGTGTAAGATGAAAGTAACTATGCACTCACTTGAAAGGTGGTGACTCGGTACTCGAACAACACTTCGTTATCTCAAAACAATTTTTCCTTGACAAAAACCTAGTATCAATACCACTAGAGTTTAGTTTTAACGTTAACCGCGACTAATTAATAGTCTAGCTATTATTATTATTATATAAGCGTTAAATAACACTCAATATAACTCATAATAATAGCCCAAATAATTATTTTAAGGACCTAATAACATTACTATATTAAAACATAAGCTATACTAAAGATAGGGTAGACATAGCTCACTTACAGCGGGCTTTCTCGAAAACCGGGCTTCGCTGGAGCAGCGTTACCGAGCCGAAAGGCTCTTTTCTCGGGACTCCGGGAGCCTCGGGGCTTCCTTCGGGTGCTAGGGGGTTTACCTAGGCTTTAGGGGGCTTAACGGGAGCTAGAGAGAGAGTTTAGAGAGAGAAAGTGGAAGAGGAAAGGTGTGAGAATTAATGGAACCCGACACATCTATTTATAGTGTGAAATCCTGATGGACTCGCCGAGTAGGAGGACCTACTCGCTGAGTTGGGGCATGTGGTGGCCTTCTGGTGGTGCCACGTGTCCAATTCTGGTGGTGCCACGTCATCCAATATCGCGTATCAGCCTCCCGACTTAAAAAAATCATAACTCTCGCATATGATCTCCGTTTTTGACGTTCTTTATATCCACGCGTAGGTAAAAACAAGATCTACAACGTTCATTTAGACTCTGTCGGCTAATTCTCGACCGATCTTAAATTTAACACTAGGAGGAGATTAAACTACTAAATGACCGCGAAGAATTCGTAACTCCTTCATACGGACTCCGTTTTCGTCTGTCTTTTTACCGTTGAGTTCCTATTAATGAGATCTTCAACTCTCATTTAGGTCGCGTAAGCCAAAAACCGCTCGAACTAAAATTCGAGTTTCAGGCTGTACACTGCTAAGCCGAAACTTTGAAAAATCATAACTTCCTCATACGAAGTCAGATTTGGGTGTTCTTTTTATGGATTTTCTTGGTTTAACATACTCTACGACTTTGTTTTAGATTACTAAGGCTAAAAAGTATTCTATCGTAAATTCACTTTTTATGCTTCCCGGTGCCGTGCCGGTTCCGTCTCGAAACTTCGACGGGTCATAACTTCTTCGTTATAAATCGGATTTCGGCGTTCTTTATATCCCCAGAATCCTTGTTTCGACCACTACGACTTTATGTAAAGATATCGGGCTTATCTCACATTTTAATTTTGATGCTTATTTTTATTCCTTATTAATTATATCTTTTTAATTAAGTAATAAGCACACAAATACATATAATTAACATAGTATTCAAATATTTCATCTTTATTACTTCAAAAGAGTTATAATAGTTGACCTAGACTATTACATCATCTAAAATGCTTAGCCCTGAAACCCGGACGTTACACATGGCCGAAAACACAAAGTTGATACCCTCCCACGGTGATTTCGGTGGATAAAGAAAAGATAAGGTGTTGACGTGTGACTTGATGGTTATCCTCCTTTCCAATGCAAAGTTTACCCAGCATGTATCTATGCCAATATCTAGTAGTTAACTAGGCAAACTGTACTTCACCCTTCCCCCCTTTAAACACGGAAGGAGGCATCCACACATCCTACCATTTTCCATTCTACTTTCCATTAACTTCCTTTTCTCTCAAGAACCAAGACCAAACAATCTTCCAAGTTCAAATCCGCCAAGCAATTATTCTTAGATTTTTGGTAAGTATCCCTTCAAATCTAGTGTATTTATACACTTTTATATTAGTTTCCATGTATTCACACACATATTATTATGTGTTAAACCCTTAGGATAATAACATTTCCAAGAAGTTCATCAACTCCATTCAAGTGTTTAGGCTTCGAATCTTCTCACCATCTTCTCAAACAACCCACAAAACCACTCAAACTGAGTTTATACCCCCAATTTTTCGAGATTTTCATGTTTTAGGGGGGGGGGGGGGAAGGGATACAAGTCCAAAATTGGTTTATTACACAAATACTTGCATGTTTTATCTTTATGTTGAAGTATAAGCCATTATTTGCTCAAGTTATGATTATCACTAGTTTTGTACAGATATTTGTGATATATTAGTTTTGATATGCAAAGCTAACAAAAACAAAACTTATTATATGTTATAAAAGTCATAAGAAAAAGTATGATTTGTAAAACTACAAGGTTTTGGAAACTTTTACTAAAAGATAGCTTTTCTAACAAAACGGGTTATACTATAGTTATTTACTATTTTGGTAGGTTACAACCCAAAGATATCATGTTTTGATTACATATTTTGTCACTAGACAAGGTAACAACTTTATATTTATATAAAATATTATATAAATAGTCTCAACAAACAAACAAGATAAACTATAATTGGTATAGTTTCGGAGTCACAAAACCACACGATCATTTCAGAGGAAACATATAATTATTTAAAGGTATAATTATTTCATTTACAAGAAAAAAGAGTCTTAGTTCATGTAAATCTGTTGATACAAGATTGTGAGACAGCTGACTTCACCTAACCTACCAGGGTACACATACTAAGACCTGCATTATAACCAGAGTCTATTAGAGGGAGAGCGTGACACTTGTGTATAGATCTATATGGGATTGACAACCCCACACCTAAACTGTTAGCTACAGTTAGACCGGCAGGTCTGGGGTGACAAATGTCGAAAATAGTTTCGTCGTCTGAAGCGCTTCGTTCAGGCAACTAGTCGCAGTAGTATGGTTATAATAACTCACATAGGGTATTGACAAAACCGCTTGGTTTATGGGGTAACTTACGCTTCAATAGTTTTATAAAAAGATAAAACTACATACTATTTTTCAGTACAACATTACTTACATTTTTGGTCTTAGGGTTTTAAGACTACAGTTCATATTTAAGAAAATATTGGATTTTCTGGACACATACACTATCATTTTACAAGGAAAAGATACTAAAGAAATATTTACATTTTTGTCTTAGGGTTAAGACCTACAGCTCGTTTTAAGGAAAATATCGGATTTTCTAGAAGTATACACAATCATTTTACGCGAAACTGTTACAAATCCGTCTTATACAAAATGCTTATGAACTCACCGACTTAATTGTTGACACTTTTCAAAATCACTTGTATTCTCAGGAAACCAGTAAACAGGTATTCAAAACATTTTGAGGGCAAGCGTCGCCGCATCATGAATTCTACTTTTCAGTTATTTTGTATGTAACGTTTGAACAAACAATGTTTGGAAACAATGCAAACTTGTAATCTCAATGTATGATCTTGTGTTGATATGTTTCATTTATATTCAATTGTTATGATATTGTACATGAAGTCATCCAGCCACCCCAGACGTTTCCGCCGTTATAGTTTTGGTGGTGTGACAACAGAAATCCAAATGATTTCCCCTACAATGATTAAGGTTTTCCTTTTCCCCCATATCAATCTAGGTAAATCTCTGTCTACACAACATAAACATAACTAACCTCTTACCAATAACTATAAATTCTTGACCTATGGAGAAGAGGCGATCAATTGAAAGGTGAGGTTTCAAAAACAGAATTCTTGACCTATGGAGAAGAAACGATCGATTGAGAGGTGAGGTTTCAAAAATAGAATTTAAACAAAAATCAGAAAACATAAAGCTACAAAATCGAAATTGACCACTAATAAATCGTTTTTTGATTGTGGATGGAGGAGAGACTGTTATTATCTAAATTAGGAGAGATACACTGAAGGGATTTGATTCAAGATTTCTTGCTATTAGATTGATGATTCGAGGAAAATTAGGAAATTTTTTTTGATAATAGAAAATTACACGTTATTTTTATTTATATTTGAAAGTAAAATCATAGAAAATTACACATGTCATTTTTAGAGAATAGGAAAAAGGAAAATCAAAATTATGAGAAAATGACATATGACATAGAGTAACTATTCTTTTATTAAGGATGATAGAAGATAGATGATTGATATATATATATATATATATATATATATATATATATATATATATATATATATATATATATATATATATATCTATATATATATAACATTTATCCAACCTATTTTCTAATTTATATTTAACCTTTCATATACTTTTCAAAATATGTGCCTAAATCTTTCCTTTTTAGTATTTTATTATGATTTTAAATTCTCATTTTTAACAATTAACTATTATACCCCATTGATAAATATAAGTTTATATCCTTCATGAACTTTCATAATATCATATTGACCAAAATTACTATTTTGATGAATCTTTAATAAGCTAAAAACTATAAATAACTAAATAGTTAATTTCTATTAAAACAATTTCGCACTCTCATCGCTTCTATTTTCATCCTTAAAGCTTGGAAGAGGTAAAAATCAAAATCTTTCTTTAAGAAAGAGTCAAACCAAAGTTCTCGTATTCGATGATAAAGAAAAACCACACAAAACACAATCAATGGACATTGTCTTTCAAAGAAAAATAGCATAACGAACAAAAAACATATAAAAGGGACCAATTATTTGCAAGAACTTCTTTCACATAGAGCCTAATACTGCCCGGGTAACACGAGATTTTCTATTCTTTCGACGTCCCCTGAAATACATATTATTATTAGCATTGATATCATTTTTATGAAATAAAACAAAGGAAATGGAAAAGATGAGTAACCTTTTAGAGGTGGACGTTTTACTTAGATCCGAACCTTGAGGTGCGAGATTCTTGCATGGTTTTTCAAGGTGTATGTACTTACCACATCGCCGATACTTGTGCCTTCTTTTAGACTTATCTGTTAGTTTAATTCTATTAAAAGAAATATTTTGATCTTTACCTCTTTCAAGATTCAATGATGAAAATAGAAGTGACGAGAGTGCATAATTACTTGAATAGGATTTAATTATTTAGATATCTATAGTAATCAATTGTTAAAAACAATTAATTGTAAAATATGTTAAAAATGCTTCAACTACAAAAGGTATAGATTATATTTTATATTTAGATTTATAAACATGATATTTTTGATGTTTAATAAAAGCATACACAAAATTCTCCTTTATTTTAATGTGGCCTCTTAACTTTCTTTTGTAGGATATTAATTGCTTTCCTTTTTTTTAGATTAGAATATTTGTGAAATGTTTAACCAAAACGTATCATTGACAGTGATAAGAAAAAAAAGTGAAAACCCAACATACATATCGCACGAGGTGTCGACATAGCAGGAGAAGCTTCAATAGTGGTGTTGTTACCAGCCAAAAAGTGTGATTCCACATTTACTATCTGCAAGAATCACAGGTAGAATGTAAATCAGGATTGTATTACATCATTGTACTTTCATAAAACTATCAATTACAAAAAAAAAAAAAAAAAAAAAAGCAATGTACTTTCATTCATTTGGTTACTATAGCATCATACTTTCAAGTTTGTGAAATAAGGATTTTGGATTTATGCAATTGGTGTAAACACTTCAATATGAGCATTTATGGCATAAGTGACATGTTATATCTACTTTTTTGTTGCTTATTTATTTTGTACTCTTAATAAGCCAACATGGAAAAGTCAAGCATTTGTACCAAGAAAGAAGGAAGTAAGGTATGCAAGATTAAACTTATTTAACAAATTCTCATTTCTCTGATCAATGTATTTCACTCTTTCTTATTTTTCAAAAAATTTATTGATACTCGTTGACCTTAGGGGCAAGCATTTGGACCCCAGACCGGGAATCGGACCTCATAAACCTCAACATGTCCGGTCCAAGCTCCACAAATTTCTGCAAAATAGGTCTGGTCCAAGATTAGACCCGATCTGATCTGGCCCAAATGCTCACCATTACATCCAAGACCGGAAACCGGACTTGGACCACCTGGTAAGCCTCAATCCTCAACAAGTTCAGTCGAAGGTCCACCAATTTCTGCAAAACCGGTCCGATCCGGTCAAAATGCTCACCCCTAATTGAACTTATGTAGGTAATACAAGAATTAAGTGGGATGATTCTCACAAGTGCCCCCAAGCTTTGGAGTTTGGACAAGTGTAGAGGATTTAAAGTCGCGCATAAATGGTATCACTTAAAATTAGTACCATGTTTACATTTTAAAGAATCTTTATTGGTTGTTTTTTTGTGACCTTTATAATTTACTTATTAGATATGCCAAAAAAAGAAAAGAAATAGCAACATACTTTAATTGGTTTTTTATTATAGTATCACACTCTTAATATTTTACGTGTACAACATCATCTTTCATAAAGCTATCAATTTCAGCAAGAAATAGAAATGTATTTTCATCGGTTGTTATCTATAGCATCATACTTTCAAATTTATGAAATCAGGGATTTCGATTTTTGCAATTGGTGTAAATGTATAGATATGAGCATTTTCAGTACAACATTACTTACATTTTTGGTCTTAGGTTTTTAAGACTACAGTTCATATTTAAGAAAATATTGGATTTTCTGGACACATACACTATCATTTTACAAGGAAAAGATACTAAAGAAATATTTACATTTTTGTCTTAGGGTTAAGACCTACAGCTCGTTTTAAGGAAAATATCGGATTTTCTAGAAGCATACACAATCATTTTACGCGAAACTGTTACAAATCCTTCTCATACAGAATGCTTATGAACTCACCGACTTAATTGTTGACACTTTTCAAAATCACTTGTATTCTCAGGAAACCAGTAAACAGGTATTCAAAACATTTTGAGGGCAGGCGTCGCCGCATCATGAATTCTACTTTTCAGTTATTTTGTATGTAACGTTTTAACAAACAAAGTTTGGAAACAATGTAAACTTGTAATCTTAATGTATGATGTTGTGTTGCTATGTTTCATTTATATTCAATTGTTATGATACTGTACATGAAGTCATCCAACCACCCCCAGACGTTTCCGCCATTCTAGTTTTGGGGGTGTGATAGATTGGTATCAAAGCATTGTTTATAGTGAACTAATATATCAAACCATACATGATACACAACTATAAATGCAATAGGGATAAAACACTTTGACTAATGCATATGCTTTTAAAAATATAATAATATGTTAAGTAAAGTATAAGTGCATTTACGCTAGGGCAGTGTCATAACGAAAACACTATAAAAGTAGTATGATGAGTTGATCACTACCGGTAGACCTTGGGGTATGTATTTTGACCTTGAATAAATATAGCCTGATCAACTATATTTATCCGAGGTGTGACCAACATATGCTGCGGAATGGTTGTGGTGAACAACAAGTCTAAACACTTACCAATACCAAGAAACTCTAGAATCAAACATAAACAATTAAAATACTATAGGAGTATTTTAGGATAAGCATGCTTAAACCCTTCATGTATTTCTCACATTCTTGCACATACATCATGGCAAAATTCCATCTACCTGGAGACCCCTATTTCCCTAACCAGGGGAATGGTGGGTGGATCGAAGAGGATCCCGAGGAGGATCCTGAGGAGATCATGGAGGAAGAACCCGAAGAGGAAGATCCTGAAGAAGAACCAGAGGAGGAAGAAGGCGAGGATGAATCAGAGGAGGAGGCGGATGCAGAGTCGGAGGCATCAATCCCCCTTATGTTGCTAGAGTTCCCGCAAACCAACTAGGCTACTAGGGGCCCACGCCTCGCTGGGTAGAAGACTTGGAGAGATGGAGACGTCAACAACATCAACGTTCACCTTTTGGTATGGAGGGAGGTTTCTGTAACCTCCATCACGGAGGTTCAGCCGACAAGGCCCTTCCTATCATGGTTCAACGGATTTCACACCTCGAGGATCAGACTAGGGCATCGGCAAACCGGATCGTGGAGCTAGGAGCCACTACTGAGACAACTAAAGCCCGAACCCGATGGATCGAGAGGGACTACCCCCGTACATGCCATCTCATTGACAACCTCTATAAGGACCTTACCACCGCTCGAGCGGAAGTGAGAGAGTACCAAGAAAGGCACTCAGCTCTCAAAGAGAGAGTGATCGCAGCTTAGCGTCGGATAGCAGAAATGCAGGGCGCCTCGACTTCATCTCATGGACCACAGGAGGCTACCTACCGTGAGTAGGGATTATCCTACTCACATCTTGATTTTTATATGTACGAGTAAGCATTGGTGCTACTCCTTCTCGCATGTAGGACTCTACCCTGTGAAATAGTGACTACACTATTCGAGGGATCATTATGTTGGAAAAACTTTCTTTACTTAAATGTATTGTAGGCCCTTATAAAGTCCAAATTTTCCAAAGGCATGTACTAAAACATATATTATCAAGGAAACTAGTATGCGTTTTTATTTCATTGGATACTATTGTCCGAAATATATAAGTGGTGTTGCCATTTCTTACTTGGTATAGTAGGTAGATCTTTATGAATTCCTTACAAGTCACGGGATACGATACAAACACCACTAAGGCACTTCATTTCAATAATGCCTGACTTATAACTGCTATTGGAGACTTATCGTCATCTTTGAACTTTGTGGCAGTAGTATGCCGCCCCATAGAAGTAACAGGCACCTCAACAACCCCCAAACAAATCCACCCCCGCCACCACCACCACAGATGGACACAACCGTTTTCCAAGCGGCCGTAACAGCCACCGTGGCAGCTGCCCAGGCATAAATCTGCACGAATGGTACCAATGGATCAGGAAATGGTACCAATAGCTCTAACCAAGGAGAAAGCCAGGGACGCCCAAAGGAATGAACTTACAAAGACTTTACAAACTGCAAGCCCAAACCCTTCAATGGAGGCGGAGGTGTCATCGCCTTGACCCGCTGGTTCGAGAAAATAGAATCAGTGTTTGAAACATGTGCCTGCCCAGAGGAGAGCAAAGTCAAATTTGCAGCCTGCACTTTTGCTGATGGGGCCCTTTCCTGGTGGAATGGCCACGTCAAAGCCCTGACTCTCCCGGTGGCTAACTCGATGAGCTGGGAGGAACTCTAAATCATGATGCTCGAGGAATACTGCCCGAGGGGCGAGGTGCAGAAATTGGAACATAAACTTTGGAACCTCACTATGAACGGATCTGACATCACAGCCTACACTACCAGATTCAAAGACCTAGCAGTGCTGTTCCATGGAATGATCACTCCTGAGAGAAAGAAAGTGGAACGCTTTATCTGGGGACTATCTCCCCAGATTCAAGGAATGGTGATTGTTGCAAACCCAACAACTTACGACAGTGCCAAACGCCATGCTCAAAGGCTCATCGATCATGGAGTTCGACAAGGCATAATGACTCCCATCCCCGAGTAGACGAAGGAGGGTGGTAACAAGAGGAAGTTTTGGAACAAAAAGAAAGGCCAACTCGCTCAAGACCCAGCTAAGAAGCAACAAACTGTGGCTGCCCATGCCATCACTGCCCTTATCGCCTCTGCTGCCCCTGCACCAGCCAAGCAATATGTCAGGACTCTCCCAAAATGCGATAAGTGTACCTACCATCAACACGGCGCCTGCCGAGAAAAGCAATGTGACAATTGAAACAAGAAAGGGCACACTGCTCGTTAATGCAGGGCACCGACACAACAAACCACCTAAGCCGCTAATGCTGGGGTGAGTCAAGCGTGCTATGGATATGGGGAAACAGGGCACTACAAGAGGAACTGCCTGAATGCCAACAACAGAAATAATGGGGGTACGCAAAGAGTCTTAGCAATAGGACACGAGGAGGCAATGAAAGACCCTGCAGTGGTCACCAGTACATTCCTCCTCAATAACATTTATGCATGCATACTATTTGATAGTGGTGCGGAGAGAAGCTTTGTGAGTCATAAGTTTAAACACCTCCTCAAACAAAAACCTCAAACACTAAACAAAATATTTACCGTAGAAATGGCTAACGGAAAAACCAAAACAACAAATGATATATACATAGGATGCATGCTAACTCTAAACAACCACTCCTTCCTAACTGACTTAATGTCAGTTACCATAAGGAGTTTTGATGTTATCATTGGCATGGACTGGGTAAGTCCTCATCGCGCTGATATTATGTGTTACGAGAAGGTCGTTCGCCTTCACCTACCAAGTAACGAAACCTTGGTAATCTACAATGACAAACCTAGCACGAACCTCCGAATCATCTCGTGTATCAAGGCCCAGAAATGCTTACACAATAAAAACCATGCCTTCTTAGCTCACGTTGTCGATAAGAAGAAAGGAGAAAAGAACATCAAAGATATCCCGAAGGTATGCAACTTCCCCGACGTATTTCCCGAAGACCTCCCGGGAGTGCCACCCGAACGACAAGTCGAATTCAGAATCGACTTGATTCCCGGAGCCACACCTATAGCCAAGTCGTCTTACCGATTAGCTCCAGCTGAAATGCAAGAACTTTCTAGCCAACTGAGCGAACTACTGAACAAAGGGTTCATCAGGCCAAGCTTCTCACCTTGGGGAGCTCCGGTCTAATTCGTAAAAAAGAAGGACGGATCGTTCCGCATGTGCATCGACTACCGAGAATTGAATAAGCTTACCATCAAGTACCGATACCGTCTTCCTCGAATCGACGACTTATTCGACCAACTTCAGGGATCAAGTTACTTCTCAAAGATTGACCTAAGATCCAGATACCATCAGCTGCGGGTCCAGGAGGAGGACATCCCCAAGACCGCATTCAGAACTCGCTACGGTAACTATGAGTTCGTACGTAGTAATGCCCTTCGGTCTAACAAATGCACCCGCAATATTCATGGACCTAATGAACTGTGTGTCTCGACCTTACCTAGACAAATTCGTGATAGTATTCATCGACAACATACT